CCTCCACACCCACCCGCCTCCTGTCCCCCCAAAACAGTACTTCTGTCTTGTCAGGATTCAACCTCAATCTGTCCCGCCCTCCACCTAGTGCGCGATGCCTGTGCTGGCATGCCGGATGGGTAATGGGGAGCATGGAACTGGTCTCCGCACTTGGCTTTCTCCTCACTGCGCAACATGGTGGGGAGAAGGCGGTGGAGAAGGCCACAGGGTTTGGGGGAGCCCAGCCCCCTCCTTGAATTTTTTTTGGGGGGCTGAAGACCCCTCAGCCTGCACCACTTGGGGTGCCTGCCCACTGAGTACGCCCAGGAAAAAAACAAAGCACTGTGAGGCGAACAAAGGCATTAAACATTCAGGGTTTTTGTGTGTGTGTCTGTAGGTTTCTCATTCAAAGAGCTCTGTTTCCTGGAACGGCTGACTCTCCGCCTGTAAGTTTCCTGCTCCAACCACACACTGACACTCTCTCAACTTTCTGCCACCTAACTGTCACACTTAATTCGAGGTGCTGGGAGCCAGCCCATCTAGTGGGTCTTAAAGGAAGCAGTGCTCCTTTGCCAACTCCGGTGCCCCTCAGAATTAGGCCACCAGAATCAGAACGTTGGAGAATGAGGGAAGAGCCACAGAACATCATCTTCACATGCATAATGTCACAGGTTCAGTCCCCAGCAGCTCCAGTTAGGGCTAGGAACAGCTTCTCTCCAAAACTCTGGAAAGCCACTGAGCTACAAGGACACCAACTGCCTGACTCAGAATAAGGCAGGGTCCTATTTTCTTGGACGCGGGTGGTGCTGTGGGTTAAACCACAGAGCCTAGGACTTGCTGATCAGAAGGTCGGCGGTTTGAATCCCCGTGACGTGGTGAGCTCCCGTTGCTCAGTTCCTGCTCCTGCCAACCTAGCAGTTCGAAAGCACGTCAAAGTGCAAGTAGATAAATAGGTACCGCTCTGGCGGGAAGGTAAACGGCGTTTCCGTGCGCTGCTCTGGTTCGCCAGAAGCAGCTTAGTCATGCTGGCCACATGACCCGGAAGCTGTACGCCGGCTCCCTTGGCCAATAAAGCAAGATGAGCGCCGCAACCCCAGAGTCAGTCACGACTGGACCTAATGGTCAGGCGTCCCTTTACCTTTACCTTATTTTCTATTTCCTCCCCAACAATTCATACCTACAAAACCTCACCTAGACATTTTTCAGTTTGTTTACTGGAAATGTTTACAGAGCTGTCTTTCCACTCGAAACCGAATGTTCTAGGGGGTCATAGATCAATATTAAAATTGATAAAACAACAACAACAAGCATAAATCAACACGGTGAAACAATAAAAGCAGCAGTCCCAGAAACATGGGCAGACAAATCTGTCAGTTTTGCTTTCTCTCTGCTTTTCGTTCAAAACATCAGTTAGGCCACATTTCCAGATCAGTTTGCAGTGAAAAGAAGTCAGCATGAAAATTTACCAGCATTTTCATGAGGATTTCCCCTAATGCATATAGTTTGCATGCAATTTCGCCCAACACACACATTTCTGCAAATCAATTTCCCCATATATGATGCTTTTCTGTGTGCTCTATTTTTCATTAACATATGCATCTATACGCACACTTTATCCTAATTCAGGGTATTCATAATGAAGTATACAGTTTCAACACACTATAAATGGAAACTGTATATTTCATTATGAATCGCCCTATATATGCACTTGTCCACACAATATTTGGCTGAAGAACCAAATTACAAAATTCAGAAAAGTGTGGCTTTCAAAGGAGGTTGTGTTTTACTTCAAATGGTATTTTGAATTAGGCAGCTTCAGCTTTGCATGTGAACCAAATCAAATTTATTCCCCACCCCTACCAGGAACACACCATGAGTTCAGAAGTCCTAAATTGGCCTGTACTTGCAGGTGCTTTTCCAAATAAAAAATTGCTTAGCAGGCAGCATCGAGCAAGGTGCAAAACGGATCTCTTTGAGGAAGGGCATCCGACCAATAAGAGCAAAAAGTCAACAGGTTTTGGTTTTTTTTGCCACCAGTTGTCTCTCTAGACGTCCTTTTGAGATGGTGACCTGGTCTCCAACTTTGCAAAGGCCAGTTTTTGATCTTGAAGGGCTGTCAAAAGATAGTCTGTTCAAGGTCTGGTTTAAAGAGAAATAACCTCGAAGCAGCCCTCCCACACTGGAGAGCAGACTGAGCAGTCCCTGGCTCAGCTGACTAATGATAATAATAATAATAATAATAATAATAATAATAATAATAATAATAATAAACCTCTCCATTCTGAAGGAAATCAGCCCTGAGTGCTCACTGGAAGGACAGATCATGAAGCTGAGGCTCCAATACTTTGGCCACCTCATGAGAAGAGAAGACTCCCTGGAAAAGACCCTGATGCTGGGAAAGATGGAGGGCACAAGGAGAAGGGGACGACAGAGGACGAGATGGTTGGACAGTGTTCTCGAAGCTACCAGCATGAGTTTGACCAAACTGCGGGAGGCAGTGGAAGACAGGAGTGCCTGGCATGCTCTGGTCCATGGGGTCACGAAGAGTTGGACACGACTAAATGACTAAACAACAACAACAATTTATTATTTGTATCCCGCCCATCTGGCTGGGTTTCCCCAGCCACTCTGGGCGGCTTCCAACAAAGATTAAAAATACATTAAAATGTCACACATTAAAAACTTCCCACAACAGCAGCTCACTTCCTAATTGACTGCCATTGTTGCGTTTCCCTCTGGCATTTGCACAACGGCAACTTTCCACGAGTTACACAAGCAGCGTTCTAACACAGACACAACAAATGACACCATCCTGACTTCCGCGTCCAGATTCCCCAACTTACACACTGAATACAGAAGGACCATCTACAGAGTTGTAACTAGAGATAGGGGAGAAACATGATTCAGTTTGTAGTTAAAGGTCAGCCGGTTTAATTTGCACTGTTGGAAACAATGCGTAAACCTAAACACTGCCGGATTTTGCAATGCAGTTCTTCAGTCAAGTGATGTGTGCAAAGGTGCAAATATTGGGGGGGGGAGTGTGGAATGCATATATCTGTGAAAACGACAGGCATTACGTTAAGGAAACTGCTTTGCCTGAAATCCATAAATTAGGCAAAAATCACATAGGGAAAATGGGCATGTTAGGAAAAATCCACACTTAAATGCTGATGAATTCTCATGGGGGTAAAAAAACAACAACTGTGACTTTAAAGAAGACTGGGAACTTTTTACAAAGTACATAAAAAGACAACGAAATGAATTGGACTCCTTGGCAGGTTTTGAATAAACATACACAAATTTAGTGTTTGGCAACATGGTAGATAGATAATATAAGGACTGAAATAATTTTATAATATGCAGAGAGTGGTGTGTGTTGAGAAATCAGAGAGAGGAGCTGAGGGAAGTCTTGTGAGGGGAAGGAGGGGGTTGATGGGGAATGGGGGGAAGGGGGGAAATAATGAGTATGATATGTTATGATATACTGTTATGTGGAAACTTAATAAAAAATTATATATATATAAAAACAACTGGCAAACTGGTGTGGAGATGTGGAGAGCTGAATTTGAGACTGGGGAAATGAGAAACAGATCTGAAATTGACCGATTTCCCTATGGCCTGGTGTCAACTTAAGGCCCTGAGACTGCACATCTAACATAGCATTTCCAACTTCTCACCATGTGATCTGCTCCTGTTCCTCTTCACAGAGTTCTGCTGTTGGCGCTTTCTTCCCATGGCACAGAGCCGAAATTAGCCACCTGCCCGTCAAACTGCTGTTGAAAGGGCACAGGGACCGGCATAAAAGCTGGCAACCCCAGCTCACTCCTGAGCCTCAAATAACTGTGCAGCGCTGGCAAGTTGCCGCTTCGGTCCTGGGCAAGAGAAGCACTTATAGAAAGAGGAAAGCCTTTGCCATTTGAGAACTGGCCTTGCGAGGCCTGACAAATGAGGGCAGGCGCAGAATAGGCTTGCCAGTTTATAAAGGGGGACCACCACCCCATTCGGCCCAGCCTTTCACTAAGGTTTGTAACCTGAAGAGGGGGGAAAAACAAAATGCTTTTCCTGGTGTGGAGCTGAAACAACCCCTTGCTTTTCGTCGCTGTGAAAAGAGACAGCAGAAATGGACGTTCAAAAGTGACAAAATGCTGTCAAGGGGATGGCAGGGACGGAGTGTGGGTTACAGCCAACCAAGTTATACTCCGAGTAGACCCAGTAAGATGAATGAACCTAAGTTAGTCACGTCTAATAACATCCACGGAAGTGAGAGCTGGACCATCAAGAAGGCTGATCGCCGAAGAATGGATGCTTTTGAATTCTGGTGCTGGAGGAGACTCTTGAGAGTCCCATGGACTGCAAGAAGATCAAACCTATCCATTCTGAAGGAAATCAGCCCTGAGGGCTCACTGGAAGGACAGATCCTGAAGCTGAGGCTCCAATACTTTGGCCACCTCATGAGAAGAGAAGACTCCCTGGAAAAGACCCTGATGTTGGGAAAGATGGAGGGCACAAGGAGAAGGGGACGACAGAGGACGAGATGGTTGGACAGTGTTCTCGAAGCTACCAGCATGAGTTTGACCAAACTGCGGGAGGCAGTGGAAGACAGGAGTGCCTGGCTTGCTCTGGTCCATGGGGTCACGAAGAGGCGGACACGACTAAATGACTAAACAACAACAACAACATCCACAGGTCTACTCTGTGATTGATAGCTTGGTCGGTAGAGCACGAGACTCTTAAGCGCAGGGTTGTGGTCGAGCCCCACGTTGGGCAAAAGATTCCTGCATTGAAGCGGGTTGGACTAGATGACCCTCGGGGTCCCTTCCAACTTTACAATTATATGATTCTATGATTCTACGAGCAAGACGAGGACTGTATACACCCTATTTCCCTCCTCTGACACACACACACACACACACACACACACACACACACACAACACATTCACTGCAAGCTTACAGAGCCTACAAAAGTTCCAAGGGGAGAATATTCTGCCTCTCGACGGCTCCCCATTTCCCCCCCCATACCTGCTCTCCAAGTTGCGCCCTCCTTCCTTTTCCCCCTGCCGTGCCTGCTTCAGCCAGTGCACTCTTAAGAAGTTCAGCTCGAGTTGTGGCTGCTGCTGTCTCCTCCTCCTCCTTCTCCTGCTGCTGCTACAGCTGCCGCTTTCAGTTACCCACACGGCCACCCACACAGCCGCCGCCACCTGACTGCTGCTGTCGCTGCCCGGGGCACAGAGATGGAATTCAAGATGCCGCAGGGAGCCTGCTGTGAGAGGACACGGTGCCAGCAAGCTGGGGGCTCCCCTAGGAAATTCTCCACATTTCCACATCCGTTTGCGTGCGTGTGTGTGTGTGTGTGTAGAGACCTCATCCTGAAAACTCACCGTCATATGGGTGCAAATTTCTCCTAAGATTGACACACCCTCGCATGCAATATTGCCACATGCACACTCATTTTCGCAAAGGAATTTCCCCCCCAATGCAACACATTTTCCTGGGTTATCTTCACCAATATGTGCCTTCGAATGCACATTGTCTTTTTGGACTGAAAAACTGCACCGAATATTCGGCGACGGGCGGATTTTGAAGGACGGCTGCGTTTCAGCACGTCTACTGTTTTGAAAAGTGCAAACCAGTTAAAGGTAAAGGTAAAGTGACCCCTGACCATTAGGTCCAGTCGTGGCCGACTCTGGGGTTGCGGCGCTCATCTTGCTTTATTGGCCGAGGGAGCCGGCGTCCAGCTTCCGGGTCATGTGGCCAGCATGACTAAGCCGCTTCTGGCAAACCAGAGCAGCGCACGGAAACGCCATTTACCTTCCCGCCGGAGCGGTACCTATTGATCTACTTGCACTTTGAAGTGCTTTTGAACTGCTAGGTTGGCAGGAGCAGGAACTGAGCAACGGGAGCTCACCCCGTCGCGGGGATTCAAACCGCCGACCTTCTGATTGGCAAGCCCTAGGCTCTGTGGTTTAACCCACAGCGCTACCCACGTCCAAAGGCAAACCAGGCTATCTATTTATTTATTTGAGCCCCTGATGTTGGGAAAGATGGAGGGCACAAGGAGAAGGGGACGACAGAGGACGAGATGGTTGGACAGTGTTCTTGAAGCTACCAGCATGAGTTTGACTAAACTGCGGGAGGCAGTGGAAGACAGGAGTGCCTGGCGTGCTCTGGTCCATGGGGTCACAAAGAGTCGGACACGACTAAACGACTAAACAACAACAACAACATACCACTACTTAAGGGATGTGGGTGGAGCTGTGGGTTAAACCACAGAGCCTAGGTCTTGCCAATCAAAAGGTCAGCGGTTCGAATCCCCGCAACGGGGTGAGCTCCCATTGCTCGGTCCCTGCTCCTGCCAACCTAGCAGTTCAAAAGCACGTCAAAGTGCAAGTAGATAAATAGGTACCACTCTGACAGGAAGGTAAACGCCGTTTCCGTGCACTGCTCTGGTTCGCCAGAAGCGGCTTAGTCATGCTGGCCACATGACCCGGAAGCAGTACGCCGGCTCCCTCAGCCAATAAAGCGAGATGAGCGCCATAACTCCAGAGTTGGCCACAACTGGACCTAATGGTCAGGGGTCCTGTGATGGGATGATGAGCTGCTCGTGCGTAAAATCCTAGTCCCTCAGAGTTTGATCAAATCCGCAAACCTCTGCCTACGACGGAGCCCCTCAAGCATGGCTCCGTCAGTCGCTAGCAGAATCCGAAAGTGGGCGCTTACGGAATCTCTTCCAGCATAAAAGCTCCTTAACGGAAACACGTCTTCTGGACTCTCGGCGCGACAGTTTCCGGCGAGGAGTGGGTGTCCCTATAGGAGGTCTTGAAACCTCCCCACTGTTTTCGCTGGAAGTGTCTCTGAGCCATCCCTCCGACTCACTTTCCCTTGGAGTTCCTTCTCTCCCCCTGCTGGTTCCCTCTTCAGCTGCTAAGTCTCTCTCAACCTCAGTGAGCCCTTCCACCTCCTGTCCTTCCGATGGCAGTTCCCTGACATCCACCTCCCCTCCAGGGCCCCCTTCACCCCCTCCCGTCCCCTCCTCTATGGGCGGTGAGGAAGCAAAACCCCTGAAAGAACCTCCCTCATCTTCCGAAGTCTCGAACACTTCCCTCCACCTGTTGCTGTTCCTGGTCTCCCGGTACTCCTCGTCATTGGAGTCAATTCCTTCTTCCAACTCCGATTCCGTGAATCCTTCCAGTTCCTCTTCCTCGTCGGTGGTGCCGAAGTACTCCCTCCTGAACCTTGCTACAGGCTGAGGTTTCCTCGGGAACCTTTGGTGGAACGTTTCTATTAAGACCTCGTCATTGACATCCTCTGCAGTCACCCAGGTGTTTTCGGACTCCGGTTCCCCTTCCCACGCCACCAAATACTCCACCTGATTTCCCTTCCACCTGGAATCGATGATTTCCGCTGCATGGCTGCTGCGTTCCCTTTCTTCTAAGGCTGGTCCCCTGGTGTACTCCCCTTCATGTCCCCCCCTGTACGGTGACAGTAAAGACCTATGGAATACTGGGTGCAATTTCATGTGGTTGGGTAACTGGAGTTTGAAAGCAACTGGGTTGACCTGCTGAATGACCTCAAAGGGTCCCAATCTTTTGGGTCTCAATTTCTTACAACCCCCTTTGAACGGCAACCCTTGGGTTGACAGCCACACCTGATCCCCCACCCTTATGGTTTCACCTTCCCTTCTGTTCTTGTCTGCCTGCCTTTTATATTCTTCTTTGGCCCTTTCTAAGTTGAGCTGGAGCTGACGATGGATCGCTTCCATCTCTTCTACAAAATGTTCGGCCGCCGGGACGCTCCATTTCTCCCCTCCTCCCCCTGGAAATGCCCTGGGGTGACACCCGTAATTAGCCAAAAAGGGGCTCATCCCTGTAGACGCATTCTCCGCATTATTGTAGGCAAATTCTGCCAGCGCCAACTTTTCGACCCAATCGTTCTCCCTGTCATTGACATAACACCTCAGGTATTGTTGGAGGATACCGTTTGCTCTTTCCGCCTGCCCGTTGGTTTCAGGGTGCCGGGCAGTCGAAAAATTGACCTCCACGTGCAGTAAGCTCATGAGCTTCCTCCAGAACCTGGACGTAAATTGTTTGCCTCTGTCTGAGACCACCCTCAAGGGGGCGCCATGCAACCGAAAAATGTGTTCTACAAACAATTTCGCTGTCTCTTCCGCTGTGACTGCATGTGAGCATGCTACAAAGTGGCACATCTTTGTTAACAGGTCTACTACTACCATGATGGCTGTTTTCCCCTTGGACTTCGGCAGATCCGTCATAAAATCTATCGATACCGCCTCCCATGGTCGTTCTGGTGTGGGTAATGGTTCTAATAACCCTGCCGGCGCCCGCCTTTCCCCTTTGGCTCGCTGGCATTGGTCACACCCTCTTACATACTCCCTTACATCTTCCCTCACCTTGGGCCACCAAAATTCCCTGGTAACCAACCACATGGTCTTGTGTTGCCCAAAATGCCCCGCTGTGGGGCTATCGTGCAACTGCTTGAGTACTCTCCCCCTCAATTCTCCTTCGGGTATATACAGTGCCCCTTTGTAATACAATGCCCCATTTCTTTCCTCAAAGCCTCCGGGGCTCTCTCCCTCCCCCCTGAGACCTCTAAGCTTATCCTGGGCGTATTCATCATTTTCCGTTTCCTCTACCAGTTCTCTTTGCCCCACCAGTGCCGCCCCACACACCCAGCGGTCCTCTGGGATGACATGTCTCTCTTCGGTTGCTCCCTCCCCCTCCAAATACTCAGGTTTACGTGAGAGCGCATCCGCCCTGACGTTTTCTGGGCCTGGCACATAACAAATTTCAAAGTGGAATTTGGAGAACTCCTGGGCCCATCTCACTTGCCGTTGGTTGAGCACTCGTGCCGTTCTCCAATACTCTAAATTCTTGTGGTCTGTGCACACTTGCACCTTATGTTGTGCACCAATTAATAAATGTCTCCATCTCCGGAACGCTTCGTGAATGGCGAGTAGTTCTCGGTCATACACCGTGTAGTTCCTCTCGGATTTATTCAGCTTCCGCGAGAAGAAGGCACACGGTCTCCACTCCGACTTACTCTTCCCCGGTTGTAGAAGCACCGCCCCTACCGCCCGGTCTGATGCATCTGTTTCAACTCTCATAGGTTTTTGTAAATCCACATGCAGGAGTTGTTGTTCCGAAGCGAACTCCCTTTTCAGTTCTTCAAATGCTCGCTCCGCCTCCGCCGTCCAAACAAATTTCTTCTTGCTGCTGAGACAGTCAGTGATGGGAGCCGTCAAGTGGGCAAAGTTCTTGATGAACTTCCGATAAAAGTTTCCAAACCCCAGGAATCTTTGCACATCCTTCTTGGTTTTCGGTGTTTTCCATTCCAGTACCGCTTGGACCTTGCCTGGATCCATGGCCAATCCCTTGTCTGACAAGCGGTACCCCAGAAATTCCACCTCCTTGGTATGAAACTGACACTTCTCCAGTTTCACCCACAGCTGGTTAGCTTGCAGCTTGCCCAACACTTCTCGGACGTCCCTCACATGCTGCTCCTCATTCTCTGAATATACCAACACGTCGTCTAAGAAGGCTACACAATTCTTGTAGAGCAAAGGTCCCAGGACGTGGTTCATAAACGCTTGAAAACACGCCGAGCCTGCTTGTAGACCGAAGGGCATAACGAGATATTCAAAGGCTCCCAAAGGGGTGAACATGGTGGTTTTCCATTCATCCCCTTTCCTTATTCGTATCAGGTTGTACGCCCCCCGCAGGTCCAGTTTTGTAAAAATCTTTCCCTTCCTCACCCTAGTCAAAATGTCGTCAATTCGGGGCATAGGGAAAGCCAGAGGTTCCGACACTGCATTTAGGGCCCGAAAGTCCACTACAAGCCTCGGTTTATCTGTGTTTTTTTTGTCCACAAAAAACACTGGGCTGCCCCCCACCGCTCGGGACTCTCTGATGAAACCTCGCTTCAGGTTTTTGTCAATGAACTCCCTTAACTCCTGCATCTCCCTGTCTGACATAGCGTACAGCTTGCCCACTGGGAGCTGGGCCCCAGGGAGTAGATTGATTTGACAGTCAAAGGGTCTATGCGGCGGCAGTTTGTCTGCTTCCCTTTCGCTGAATACGTTGCTCAGATCTGCGTATTGTGGGGGCACCTTCCCTTTGTCCGTTACTTCCATCCCTGCTAGGGTGACTCTGGCCCCTTCCGGCGCC